AGTCAGCTATCGATATACTAGAAGAGTTTCAGGGTCACTCTACTACTAAACCCTCGAGGACGCAAGGCTACTTTTTACCAACCGCTACAGGGGAATACACCTTCAGGCTGCGACCATCACACCCTGAGACCATCAAGGATATCTATCTTAGTATCAATGGCGCGAAGATCGCCCTGAAGCAAGGCAGTGCGGAATGGTGTTCCGATCCCAATTATCATGACAACAGGACAGACCTACCTGCTGGCGTCCTCTGTTCAACCCATGGATATTACATGGGCCACTAAGCAAACACTACCAGCAAGCTTCACTGATATTACATTCATTGTCCAAGACAATGTCCAGAAAGCTGATTCAGTTTTGAAAGAGGTTGGTCGATCAGCATGGTTGTTCAAAAAGTTGGAGTTGAGCTTGGAGGAAGTAAAATACTTGACCACTCCCAACGGGCTTATCTGTGTTGACTTGAGCTCGCTCAGCATTGGTGACGTTACGAATCTACAGAGCTATCAACAGTTGAGAGACAGTGTTGCCAAAGATAAGGATTCTTTAGTTACTTTGTTTGCATGGCTGGAGAACCCTGATAGCTCTTCAACCTTGACCTCTAAGCTCATAGAGGCCACAACATGGCCCGAGGCACAGCTGTCGACTTTAATAAGCGCCAAGTATGATTATGGTGAGGCTGCAGCGACAGGTATTATAGAAAGCGTCGCTAGGCTCAGCGAATTGGTGTCGATTCAAGCTATCATGGAGGTCTCCGGCAATCTGAGGCCTGACCCGAGTCAAGAAAGCGACCATCCAATCACCAATCTCTTCAGATTCGCCACTCCCGCTCTTCCAAGTTCTACGAAGGATTTAGAGGTTGCGAACGAACTCAGGCTCATGCTTGGTAAACGACAACTAAAGTCATGTGCCGCTCAGCTACGAGAAACACAGCGAACAGTCTTCATAGATTACTTGCTACAACAGCCATATATCAAGAATGCCAAGATCTCGGATGCTGGGGGGCTGTTTGATCTGTTGTTGATCGACGTTCAGATGGGGTCGCAGTTTGAGATTACGCGAATGAAACAGGCCATCTCGACCGTTCAGCTATACGTACAACGGTGTCTCCTCGGCATGGAGACCGAAGCTGGTGTGCAACCAAGCAACATAGACCAGATCAAGTGGGCGTGGATGCACAAGCATAACATTTGGACGGCTACACGCAAGGCATTCTTATACCCAGAGAATTGGATCGATCCAACCTTGCGTGACGATAAGACTGCTTTATTTGGTGACTATGAAACAACTATCATGCAGAAGGACCTCAGCTGGGATTCATTTTCACAGGCTATCCGTACGTACGTGAAGGGTCTGTCAGAGATCGCTGATCTAGACATACAAGCGTATCTGCGGCATCATCCCACTGGCGGCTTGGAGACGTACCATTTCTTTGGCAAGACACGCAGTGCACCCTATCGCTTCTACTACCGTAACATGAGGCTTACACAGCCTAGTGATGTGGCGATGTGGACACCGTGGACTTTGATGGACATTGGCTCCATCACTTACGAGGCAGACTGGGATGGCTCGAGTGTTACCAATGCCGGGGCATACCTGATTCCCGTTATGCGTGGCAATCGTCTGAGTGTTTATATCCCAGAAATAATGGTTAAGAGTCTTACTCCTGAGACACCAAAAGGAGAAAAGGCGACCGCCTTGACATTTCAAGAAGCCGCGGGCCAGTCATTAAACACGACAAAGTCACCGAGTAACTGGGAGATACGAATGGCATGGACTGAACTACTCAATGGCGAATGGACACCCAAGCGAGTTTCGCAACCGGTGCTGAATGTGAATTGGGATAACACATTCAACAAAGAAAAACTACCTTCCATTTCACGCTTTACCTTTTGGGCCCATACGGCCGGATTGGTTGGAGAGACAGTCACTATTAATGTGGGATGCTGGCGAAAGGAAAAGATAACTAAGAAGGTCGTAACAGAAACAGGCACAGCTAACCACTCATACCTCGGATGCTTTCAAATCAGCGATGACCGGGCGTCGGTGGAAGGGGGCCTGAGCCAGTCCGAGTCTGAAAAGAGCACTCTTGAGACGGTGTTCCATAAGTACACATGGAAGCAAAACTGGGAAACAAGAAAGACGTTTGACGACGACCGGGTCGAAACTCTTGGGCAAGAAGTTGCTTCATTTGGAGGAGACCAGACAACTTCTCCCTTACTGGCTGTTCCGGTTCCACCCTCTTCCAGAACCCTTGTATGGACCATGTCGTATGATGGAAACGACAAGCTCGGCAAGGCTACCGGCTATGTCGTTGACGTACAGGTGTCGGCACCGGACGGCAAGACAACCTTCATGTACCCAAAGCTTGCCTATGCCAAAAACAACAAAGTCGATCTTGCATCGTCGAATTTGGTTCGGAATTCGATGACTGAAGCCATTGAGCATTCTTCGTCACCAAGATTCATGCAGGATATCACCAAGACAGACAGCTTGGGGCCACTCTTCGAGACGATGGATAAGATGAACGAGAGAGAATATGGAAAGGCTGTAGTTGAAGCAAATATGTCTCAATACCATGAACAAGCCACCTCATATGCCCTCTACAACTGGGAACTCGGTGCGCATTGTATTCTTCTAGCCATGGATAGGTTCTTGGCAACACAGCAGTACGACCTCGCCCTCCGCGTTGCACGGTTTGTATTCGATCCGACAGTGGATGTCCAGGGGCAAACTCGAAAGCAAGCGAAGACGGCGTGTTGGAGGTTCCGCCCATTCAGAGACATTGCAGCTGATCCGCACGAGAATCAAGACAAATTCACTGGATGGCTGGACGAATCTACCCTCGATATGGCAGTTACAGAAAGGAGACGCAACCCATCCAATACGCATGCGACAGCACGAACACGACCACGAGCATACATGAAATGGGTCGTCATGAAATACATCGAAACGCTCATAGCTGCTGGTGATGAGTACTTCCGCCAGGGTAGCATTGAGTCTCTACCTATGGCGATCCAGCGGTACATTGAGGCAGCGCATGTCCTAGGCCCTGAGCCACCCAAGATGCCCAAGCTTGGCAAGACAGCCATCAGGAATTACGATACCCTAAACAAGAATGGCAGAATGAGGGTCGATCTCGAGCTTACCTTTCCTTTTCTGTGTAATGTCGAGAGGAGAGGCTCAAGACAATTGCAAGATGACGAGCAAGATAGATATGGTGTCTTGGGAATCCTGACAACGACATACTTTTGCCTGCCAGCAAATCCAAAGTACCAGACAATGCGGTCGTTAGTCAACGACCGGCTTTATAAGGCAAGGAACAACTTGGACATCAATGGTCGACCACTCGTGTATGCCATGAACGAGCCGAGTATTGACCCAGGACAAATAGGCCGAGCGTTGCAAGGTGGCGGAGGGGCAGTGACGTCTCTGCTAAATGAGATTGATGGCCCGATGCCAAATCAGCGGTTTCAATATCTCATCTCTAAAGCTCTAGAGATATGCACTAGCCTTCAAAGCATGGGAGAGCAGTTCTTACAAATCAAGGAAAAGAAGGACTCAGAAGCTTTGCAAATCCTCAAAGCGAAACAGGACACGGCTCGACAGAGGCTTTCCATAAGTCTCAAACGTCTGCAAAGGGAGGAAATCGAAAGAAACATCGAGCTTTTGGAAATGAACAGATCTTCTGCTGCAGCTCAACTGAGCTACTACCTGCGTCTTATGGGCGAACTATTGAGCCGCATTCCTGGCCAGGCGGAGAAGTGGGTGGACATCGAGCAGGCGATCGAAGCACCACTCACAGATGACCTGCGCATGAATCGGCTGGAATATCAGGAGATGAAAGTAACAGAAGTGGCAAATAAGTTGAATATTGCTGCTTCAGCCATAGACGTCGGGGCGTTTATACTCAAAGCTCTACCACAAGTAACGACCAACGTCGAACCTTTTGGCGTTGGAGCTTCTATGAAGATGGACGCCTCAAACATAGCATCAGCTTTGCAGGCTTCATCCATGAGTATCAGAACAGGCTCTATGATAGCAACCAACATCGCGGCCGATGCTCAGCGTACAAACTCGCTCACTAAGCAGCTACAAGAGAGGCGACTCCAAGCCAACATGAAGGGCCAGGAGATCAAATCGCTCGACAAACAAACAGAGATCCAGAAGAACCGACTGGAGCTCAATGATAAGGAAACATGCATCCAGCAAGCAGAGATTGGCAATGCAGTTGAAACGGAGTAGTGGTATCAATCCAAGTACACAAACGAGAAACTCTACAGCTGGATGGAGAACACGGTTCGCAATGTTCATTATGACCTGTATCAGCTTGCGTCGGACCTTGTACGTCGCGCTCAGAACGCGTTCCGCTTCGAGAAGGGATCTTCAGTGCAGGGTTTCTTACGACCCGGTGGTTATTGGGATAGTAGTCACGATGGTCTCTTCGCAGCGCAGCAGCTACAAGCTGATCTGCGACGCATGGAAGCCGCATATCTGGAGCGATCATCGTATGATTATGAGATAGTCAAGAACATCTAGTTAAATGAAACGGGGCTTGAGTGGAAATTGAAGGTATCGAATGAAAGGGGCGACTTCACGGCGTTGGAAAATGTGGCAATTGTGTTGCGGTATGCATTGGCTTGAGCTCACTCTTTACCCTAGAGAACAACAATTGATGAGCAACGGTGGGGTTCTTTTGCCCTGAGGAACCAAGGTAGTAGAGAAATTAGTTTGATATGCAACGATTTAACACCGTAATTGCTATACGAATTCAAATGCTAAGAATGAATGCATCTGGCTGAAGCGACAATGCTGCGCTGGACTATCAATCAGTTGCTCGCATCGACACTTTTCGGCCCCTCATTTGCCGACCGTGCTGCTCTGACAAGGGTGTCCATCGCGAAGATTCTGGCCAGATTGCAAGATTGCAATGCTGACGACTGTGCCTCACTCTCGGTCTATCCCATCAAGCCTCATCGATCCCATATCTCAATCAATTGACCTTAATCCGCCTTGACACGAGTATTCCCCTTCAAACCAACTCCCATCAAGAACGCGATCCTCACAGCGCCCTGCCCCCACAAACTCCCAAAATTGACCCAGTCCTCCCATCTCCACGTCGCAGGATTCCAAAACATGTCAGGAATCGCAAGCCAGCTTGCATACAGATGCAGCGCATCACAGATCAATATCCCAAACAAGACAGTTCTCCAAACACGTAAGTCGTTGGTAGCGCGTAGAAGAATCGCTTCGTTGTAGGCAAAGAGTGTGTATGTCGCCGCGACTTGGTTGTAAATAACGCGATTGTCGGGCGCAAATTTGCCGGTCGGGGTCATTGTGTTGAGGAACATTTCCGGGGTGAACCAGATGATGAAGGAGCCTGCCAATGCGGCAAATGGTTCGAACCAGAGGAAGAGGATGCGGTACGCGAGGGGAATGTGAGTTAGTGTCGTTCTGGCCATGGTGATTGATGTTGCTATGCTGTTTGAGGCGTGAATGATGAGAGATGAAAGTTGTTCAAGCTTCGAGACGGGTTCCAAGTTCTGAAATGACCATGGTAGCTCAGTACAGCGGGCGGGAGAGCTAGCGCGTTGGTTCCGACGGGAAGCCGGAAGCTACGGATAACGCCAGTTACAGGCCGTTGCATTGGTGCTCTGGGTGCTTACCTCCCTCAACTGCTAGCAAAGCTTTGACAATTGATACGCTTGCTTGGTGGGTCCTGATGTCATTCGTTGGAGGTGCGAGGGTCAGGCGCATGTCGTGGAATAATGCTGTATCGCGATGCGCTTGGTACTCCGTACATGTTAAGACTCTCACTTGTGAAGACGTCGGACTGTGACATTATGCCGCCTGGGGAAGCATGCTTAATTGCTCAAACCATTGAACGAGCTCCCGTGCAGAGTTGCATCGGGTCAGATCAAGTAACTCGCAGACAGCCATTCGAACTCGCCAACTAAGTTACTTCCGAACAGATCCCTCTCCACGTTTCGCGTTCTCGGGGAACCGCCCCGTCTCCTCCAACTCATACCAGAACCCCACCGTCTTAAACTTCTCATACCACTCCCTCAACCTCCCAAGCTCCTCATCCTCCAAAATAAATTCACTCCAGCTCAACTCCGTATGTCTCACCGTCGCAGCGAGCATCACGTCAGCCATGCCCGGACCTCCGTCAGCCGCAGGCGTAAGCCAGCCCGTCGAGGTGAGATTGTCAGCACACGCATTCTGCAGTGTTTTGAAATGCCCTTCAAATTCACGTCGGGCGCGACGTCCGACGGGGAGACTGAGCTCAGAATCGGGAATGTTCCAAAAGGCAGCCATGTATGGAGCGCAGTTGATAAGCCAGATTCGTCCAGTGTCTGTGGCGAGGGCGATGTAGCTAAGGACGTCTTGAGTGATGGCTCTGTCGACAGGGTTCGTAGCCCACATTTCTCGGTAGTTATTGCTATCGAACACTTCTTCCAGATAGTTAATGATACTCCAGGTCTCGTGGACCCAGATGGATCTGTCGCTTTCGGTATCGTCAAGGCGAAGTGCGGGTACTTTGGTGCCAGGTGGCAAAGGCTCTTCAGGATCTCCAGAAACGAAGCCATCACCAGTAAAAGTAATGGGCACGATTCTCAGATTGCTCTCATTGGTCTTTCCATCATATAGCTCCTCCACAGAAGAGCATATGCCCTTGGAGAGAAGGTAATAGGCGATACGCTTTGGAAAGTAGCCTTCGATCCAGAGGAACAGCGTATGTTTGTAAGTTGTAGTAGACATGATGCTAGCTCGTGACATTAGGATTGTAAATCTTGAACTTGCATCATGTTCTCGGGTCTATCACCTATATATAGTAAGACTGTGACCTTGATTGAAGTACAAGCCTGTTTAGGCAAATCTATCTAGGCATTGACAGATATACCTTATAGTAAGTGGCTTCGCTTTCTTGTATCACTTACTGGTGGTCAGACCAGGCGCGCGCTAACTATCACCATCCTTCTCAACTCCGTCGGGCGAGTGAGACGGACTCCATAGGGTTTCACTACAAAGACAAACATCACGGAATAATTCCAACACCTTCACACGTCAGCCACAGCATATCTGATCCGTGGTCGCGACTCGGGGCAAAAGGATCAGCGCGCTAGTCTAGACTTGAAGCTCTTCTGGTTTATAGATACACTCTAGCTAGTATAAATTGTTCTGCATGGTATCCATCTTGATTGCTGATGATAATTTTGACCAATTTGAGCTACTCAAATGTAGAATCTTGACAAATGTCTAGACTTGCTTCGTTGCATTAAGATACGCAGCAGCATCTGGAGAGAGAATGCCATTCACGACCAGTTGATCCGCTGACTCAACGATCCATGTCTGACAATTCCGTTGTACAATTTTCTTCTTGGGAGCTTCCTATAAACATTCGATCCATCAGTCAAAGATTTGCCACCCTGAGCATCCTGATAGCCATGATCAAATGTGAAATACTTACACTCTGAGACGCGTCATTTAGTGTCTTGTCAGGTACGTTTACTTTATGTAGGCTTTCCTCGAGGATACAGGTCGGTATCGATCCTTGGTCATGAAGCATCAACTCTTCGTTAATAAACTTCGCTTCAATCCACTGAAGCGGGATTCGGGATGACGGCGGGTCAGAAGTTAGGTCATGATTCCTCCGGATCTGGCGCTGGAATCCGCTGCGGACATCGCCAACGGCCTCATACACGATACCAACAGAAGGGCTCAAGCTAGATCGAACAAAGTAAGCCCAGTGATCATTGAATGGTGCGCCGTTATGCTTGATCAACTCAAGCAATAAGGCTCCAGTTGGACCGTCCTCAGGAAGAACTGGCGCTTGTGGAGTTGAGCTGGCGTCAGTCACCGGGGCTCGGAAAGGCGGTGGAGGTGGAGGCGGCAGCATCTCTTGTTCTAGTTCATGGAGATCTTGGTAACAGCCGAGGCAATAATAGAGTATCAATAGCTGTATGAGCGATGTGGAAGGTGATGAGTAGGTGATCATGGAAGAAGAGGCGTTGCAAAATTATGGTGCCTGCTCGTTCTTGACCCGCGGATTCCTCATGTCATTGGTGTGTTGGTTCTGTCTTCGCCATGTTACTTGGCTGCCTGGGACAAGCCGGCCACCTAAACCAGTAAAGATGATAGGCTGGATAAAATGGTGCATTTTCGAAAAATACTGCTAAACAACCCCATAAACCCTTGATTCTATTAACTACTGGTCCTACTTTTCCGAGCTGCTATTGTTGCGACTGATTTCCCGCTGAGACGGTAAGTCTCGGCCAAGATCGTCATGGGTAGCATCCCACTCAGCCACCTGAGAATTAGGCACCCGTAAAAGCCGATGCGTGTTGGCGCCATTATCATCGACAGAGATAACTTTGGATCGGATGCTATAATTGCCCCAGCGGGGGAGCACCTTCATCCAAAGGTAGTAGTAAATACCGCACGTTGCCATGATTCCAATTCCGACAATCATGTAGGTACACCATAGGCTGCGACTTGTTGTCAGTATCTTGTCGGTCACATCTGAAACCAGTACTTACAAGCTAACTGTTCCAGCATAAATACCACCTTCTGGAGGAATCCAGGGCATGACGAGCAGGAAGACCTGAGCCAAGAGGTACAGTATAACAAGAGCCCACCATGCTCGAAAATCAGATCTGGGGGTACCTGAGCGAGAACGACGGCGACGGATCAGCAAAAGACCAACGCCCATGGCGGCATGGAATATGGCGTCTGGGTACGTCTTGAGAGAAACGACGAACTGAAAGGCATCACCTGCTGGAGGCGCGACGATCATCAGAAATGTGAATCCCCATTTGAGTAGATATGGGCCAATAGGAGTGCCGAAAGGTTTAGTCGAGACCCAGAACTCTGTCCATGGGAGGACGCCTTGACGCGCAATCTCTCGAATTTGACGAGACTGGCTGATAAGAACAGCAAGGAGATTGCCAAAGGAGCTCAGGAGGACACAGAAATTCAGAGCGGATTCAGCAGAAGATCCAAAGGCTGTCCGGAAGAATACAGCAGCAGCCAGCTCTTTCGACTCTAGAAAGATATCCTTGGGGACCGCGGCAAAGTAGGCGACGTTGCAGAGGAAATAGAGAGAGAACACAATGAGAAGGGAAGCCGTGGCATTCTTTTTCAAGGTGGGGATAGGATTCTTGATCTCATTTGCCATGCTGAAAGCGTTTTGCCAGCCCGAAAACGCAAATGTGATGTTGACCATGGCCTGAGATAGACTGTAGCCGCTCGAAGTCGTGCCTTGAAAGCCATTGCTGAAGTTTATACCAGGGTTCTCGATTCTGCCAAAATGACCTCCAAGGATAACAAGCCCTGAGATAGAGATAAATAGTAGCAACAGCAGCTTCAAGGCCCCAATGATGTTGATGGCCCAGAGCGAGTACCTGTTGTGAGCGATAACAGTAATGACAGCCAGCGTGTAAGCTGCAATAGCAACGCCCTTGAGCTCCCAGGGACCCGGATCGCGCCCGACGATGCGCCAGAGGTAGTTGGAGAGGACAATCGCGTTGCTGCTGCTAAATGATAGAAGTACAGACTGAACAGCGAAGGCGACAGGGAAAAGGTGTTTCGGTCGAGGATATCCTTGCTCAAGCCATACAACCTCTGAGCCACTGCGGTTGGGAAAGTAACTAGTAAACTCCATGTGGACAGCGAGTCCAGCGGCAGCCAAGAGGAACCCAATGACCCAGTAAACGAGGGCAAGTCCAACTGAACCTGTGAGGCGTAGGATTGTGGCAGGCGTGGAGAAGATACCAGTGCCGACCATGTGATTGAGGTTGAGGAAGATGATCGTCAGCCAGTTGACGTGGTATCCTAGCGGCGAGCGTGTTTCGACGGGAGCACCGACAGCCTCCTGGTATCCTGAGGCGCCATTTCCTGCTGTTTGACGCACGTAGGAGAGATCACCATCGCGAATGATGGAGGCCTCTGAATCCGAGTGTGATGCCTCTGGAACAGCCTGGCTAGTAGCCTGTGACTTCGGACTAAAACGTAGTCCCATACTGAGCTAACAAGATATGAATACGAATAGCATGAGAAAGTTTACTTGGAGAGAACACGGAATTGAGAACATTTTATCGTCCAGGTGCCAAGATGTCGTCTATTGTGGCTCCGACATGGTCTATAGCGTCATGGCTAGGTTCCGAGATGTACAGGTTTGACCAAAAGACTGTTCAATATGACCACTTTAATCCCGTTAAGGTTAACGTTAAGATTTTACTTTATCCATTTAACTGAAGGGATGCATACATACGTGATAAGTTCTTAGAGTTACGCAATCTAGAATATGGGTAATCCATAGAGGTGCTGTGAGGTAATGGGATCTCTATTCCTTCCCGCGGGGATATCTGGGAACCATAGTTTATCCATCAGTCGGTAACATCACCCGCGGGAAGGGTTTAGCCAATAAATGGTGATCTAATGTATGGCGTGCTTACAGCCTAGCATTGTCTGATACAATTCGAAGGTTCGCATCGGGGCCGACTATTTTGTCCTTAAACGTCAATTATGATAATTGTCTTTGGCTATTAATTGATAGCCGAGGAACTCTCCTACATAAGAATGACAATTCATTGTTTCGTGTAGGGCTCAATCCCCTCTTGGCAGATTTGTTGCTGCTACGCCATTGTTTATTGAATGGCGTCATTATAAGTTTATAACCACCTCGTTTTGTTCGGCGTTTCGCCGACCTCCCGCCCGGGGATAGACCTAGTTCTTATAAAACTAGCAATATAATCATATAGTATACAATCTATAACCAAGCAATTAGAATATTCTATTCATCCTTGAAGCAAAACCACGTCCAGGCCTTGTCATCCCAGCTATCATGGCCGCTATAGCTACTGTCTCTGCTCTCTCCCCACCGTCAGCCCCGACCTGCGGTATCACACCGGCCGCTTTGCCCCCGCCTGGTCAACCGGACATCTCTTACCACCCAGATTGGGACAAGTACCAAGCACGTGTAGCCCGCCGGACCCAGACCGAGGAGCTCATCAAGACCCTCCCTGAGGGTTTCCCCAAAGAGCTCAAGGGAGACCTCGTTTGGGACGGAGAGACTATTGCTCAGAAATACGACTGGACGTACGTTCTATCGCCTGCTCAACTGGAAGAGATCGACAAGGCCCTTGCATATTTTAAATGTCGGTGTTCTCTACTATCTAATCTGGTGTACTATGGCTGACATGACGCCGGGGAATAGCCCTCAACATTTCCAAGGGTTATATTACACAAGAGACCTTCCCGCTCCCCAAGCTGCACGACGAGCTACGCAGGCTATCTCGTGAGCTACACTACGGCCATGGCTTCTTTGTTCTTAGAGGCTTAGACGTTGACCGCTATACCCGTGAAGAGAACATCATCATATACGCGGGCGTTTCTTCCCACATAGGCTCTATACGCGGCCGCCAGGATGCTTACTTTCAAGGTGAACGTGCTGATGTTGTTATCGGACATATCAAGGACGTTCGTTCTGGCCTCGGCGAGTCTCGGGACAAGACTAAGATCAAGATCGGAACGCCTGCCTACACTGCTGATAAACAGGTCTTCCATACCGACTCCGGAGATATAGTTTCTCTTTTTGCCTTATCCACAGCCGCCGAGGGAGGTGCCAGTCGGTTGGCCAGCACATGGCGTGTGTACAATCACATTGCAGCCACGCGACCAGATCTCATTCACACTCTGAGCGAACGCTGGGATGCAGAGCTGTAAGTCGAGGATCCCAGTACGATAATTTAGCAGGAAGAACTCCGTTACTAAATGCCTTCGGCTGCCCAGTTTCACAAGGACTGTCAACGATACCGACAAGTTCATGAGCCGCCCGTTAATTCACCATGTCCCTGCTAGCACCGATGGCAAGATCCCCGACAGAATCCTTCTTCAGTATGGACGCCGCTACTATGTTGGTTTCGGAGAAATCCCCCGTGGCAAACATCTACCGCCAATCACCGAGGCCCAGGCCGAAGCCCTCGATACTTTACACTTCCTGGGTGAGCGCTTCAGCGTGTCGACTAATTTCGAGAAGGGCGACATGCAATATGTCAACAATGTGGCTATTTTCCACGCTCGCGATGGCTTCACGGATACCAAAGATAAGCAGTGAGTCATTCCTACAGAAATGCCGGGTTTCCAAGTACAAGCAAAGGCTGACAGAAGCTCCCCATACAGGAGACATTTGCTTCGAATATGGCTTCGTGATCCTGAGTATGCATGGAAGACGCCTGCAGCACTCGCCTCGAGATGGGAGCGAGTATACGGTGGCGTCACGCCTGAGTTACAGACATTTCCTCTTGAGCCTCATACCCGTAGTGAAAGCACAACGGCGGCACAGTCAAAGTCTTAGTTTAGGATACAAAGCCCTGCGGTATGCTAGAACATGTAGGAGGACGCTAGGAAATGGGGAAATGTGGGGAGATAGCGAACAAAGCCATCGCGTTACTCGAACATGTAAAGCCTGGCGAGTCATTCAACGGGTCGGATGCATCTTGAATTGTATGATTACTTAGCCAGTAATCTACTAGAAGATTAAATTGCGCTTGCCTTAGTTTGGGCAAGAATACGCAATTAGGCTCAGCTGGCTATGAAGATAACACCATGGCGGTCAACTGTATATGTAAGATGCCATTCAAACGTCCACCGAGTCTCCTGGTGGTCGTGCCTTATCCAAAATGCACAAAGGGAACCCACACAAGTTTCTTCATCTTCTCCTCATCCTCACCACAAGAAAGAATGTCTCTTGACCATATCTCATCTCTCTCACTGCTGGCCATCCGGTCCGGGTGTTGCTCTGGTGTACTTAACCACTTATCTCGGAGCTGCCTTGTAGCTTTGTGCAGACCCCAGCAGACAGATCTGTTAGAGAACCCCTCATCTCTTATCGACTCGTACACAGTCTGTGATATTTCAACACACGACTTATCACTGACTTCCCAGAGTGTACCGACTACATGCTGGAATCCCGCTAGCTGGCATGCGCTGATCAGGTGGATGCTCTCATCGAAGAAGGCATTCCCTCCAATTTGACCCGTCCCGCAGGCAGAAAGATATGCCAAGAACGGAGCATTTCTCCGAAGATTTATATCCATAAGTTCAGATACTGTGAGTATGCCATCGGTCAGAAGTAGTCCACTTTGAGAAGGGTTGCCGTCCGTCTTGCCATGCCCAGCAAAATGGAAGACTTTGCAATTATGGAGCTCCTTCAAAACAGCTTGCTTGTGTTGCTCGGGAACGCGAGACTCGAGGTTCATTGACTTGCAGAGTTTGGCGATTGCTGAGACTTCTTCTTTGACGAACGGAAGCTTGATCTGACCAGTAGTATCTTCCATTGCTACTAAAACAGCTTTATCTTGGGCCGAATCTGAACGAAGCTTTCGGCCGTTGATAAGGGCTTGAATCGATGAACTGTACGAAGATATAACTCTATCCAGTACGGTCTTGGTTGATCCTGGGTGATGATGTCCAAAGGCATGGAATGGGAGCCTACTCAGTCTACCGGTTGGAACCCACCAGATGTGAGGCCAATCATCGTCTGGCGGAGGGCCTTGAATACCAAGTTCCTGCAGAATAGGGCCGGCAGCTATATCCCAAAGCCATTCCATCATAAGAGGACTCGTCAATGAATCCGAGCTCTCTTTCTCATTCATTTTGTCCACAGTTAAATCAGGTAGCGGTAAGGATCTGATTTGATGTTGTTCAACAAGAATGGCATCGCAGCGAAACTTGCTCAGGTTGATAACCACGACAGGGCCTGAACTAGCCGCAGCTCGATAGTCATCTTCGTTCGGCGGTTCTAGAAAGTCACTGAACCCCGGATGTTTCCTAATCTCACCAATGAGGTGTTCTAATTCTTCACTCGCCTCGCCACGACGGTTTGCGATAACCTGAGCTGAGACTGAATCACCACTTTGGATAGGCGCGTCGAGCACTTGGCCGAGTTCCAGAAATCGTCCTGCGAGATCAGGGTGGCTCTGTTCTAGATCCAGAACGTCAACGCGGATCTGCTCGATTGCTGCGGCAAGTACTCCGCGGCCTTTCTCCAGTACGCTCAGAGCAAAAAACGGTTCTTTGCCAGCATGAAGTGCCACGGCTGCAGTATCGCATGCAAGGTCTACTATTCGACCTAGCATACGCTGCTTATCGACGAAGCCAAGTGACCTTGGTGTCAGTTGTGGCAGTAAGTCAAAGGCCGCTTGTGAAGCGTCAAGAGCATGCTGCCATTTCGAGGCATGTGCAAATGTCTCAAAGAGAAATTTTCCAACTGCGATTCTTGTTTGGATGTTGGAGTTCAAATGATCCAGAGCCGAGCGATAGAAATTCACGGCAGCCTCAAAGTCATCCATACAATTAGTCAAGGTATGGCGATTCCAGTAACAGTCTGCAAGATTGCTCATGTATTGAGCAAGACTGGGGTTTCCCGGTTGAGCGACGGTAATGGACTGGTGCCCCATCTTGATAGCCTCTTCAACATCAGTCGTTTCTCGATACCGTATATAACGCTTCGCAAGCCAGATGGAGAGATTACTCGAAAGGCTAGGAATATCTGCATGTCCTGAAGGCAAGGTGGTCAATGCCTCTTGTGCGAGTTGAATTGCTTCATCAAGGTCTTTGGTGTCGCCTGTCCTGAGGTAGCGATCTCCAAGATGACCGGAGAGGTTGGACTTGAAGAGACCATGATCGGAAGAGCCCTCGGCAGTAACTTTGGTGATGCCACGACAGATGTCAATAACTTTGTTGAGCTCTCCAAGAATCCCAGTTCTTGCATATCGTTCGTGTAGCTGGTTTGCAAGAGTATTAAGTCGCCCCGGTCTCTTGAAGTCGTCGAGTGGAGTCAAGTCTACGGCTGATTGAGCCACTTCTATCGCCTCTTCCAGATCTATAGAAGACCCTGTTCGCTCGTAGCGCTCTCCAAGGTGGTTTGCTAAGTGCGTCAGCCGGAAGGCTCTATCATCATCGGAGTCCGCTGCCACATCGATCGCCTGCCGTGTAACTTGAATAGCTTGTTCTAGATCAGACAGTGATCCAATTTTGGCAAATCGAATGGCAAGGTGAACGCCGAGACTGTCCAAGAGAGCGCCTCGATGAATGTAATCATTCGGAGCGGCATCGATTGCTTCTTGCCCCACCTTGATTGAATCCTCCAGATCAGCGAGTACCCCAGCAACGGTGAAGCGACGACTTAGAGTATTCCCCAGCTCGTGAAGCCAGATGATGCGATCAGGATCATCTGGCGGTGCTATCTCGACAACCTCCCGGGCCATGTCGATGAAGGAATCCAGCTTATCCATAAGAGATACATTCGCGCCTTGCTTTGACATGGAGATGAATTTCCTCTTGGCTTTGGCTCTGGTGAGACTGACAGAAAGACTCCTGTAATGTTCTTGGTCGGTGGTACTAGCGACAACGAAGTTAAACGGTGAAATGGCCCGTCACGAAACGATTTGAAATGCCTAAAAGACAATGCTGGAGAAGAATCTCACGCTTACGCAATCTTTCTGCAGCCTTTCCATATTTGGGGCTTATCTTTCACCACTCAGAGACAATGGTAAAATAAGGCTGTGGACAACCTTGCCAAGCTATCTCTTGGAGAATGATGACTTGCATCTCGGAGTAATACAGTCCGAAGGCCAATCTATCTTCCGAGAGGACATTCACTTTGAGACTTAGCCATGCAAGGGTCTGGTATATAACGATACGGATTTGAGGCTATACAGAGCTCGGGTAACAGATCCATTGGACTTCGTGTTGAGATAGCCTCCTTCAAGGTACGTATACCCCGCAAATATCCCCCCCGCATTCCCGCCGATTGACTATAAACTCTAAATTATCCCACCCGGACTGTTTATAAATCATGGACTGCCAGCAGAAAGCACTAACATCTTCACGACAGAGACGTCATGAATGGAAGATCACTGGGATAGCATGTTCTGTCACAAGCCAGTATCTGCTGAGTTCGCGGCGGGAGTAAGTACCAGGCCTGCGAAGAAGGGACAGCAGTTTAGGACGCCCAATAGCCGACCTCATGCAAGCAATGTTCATTCCTATCTGGCTCTTGAGATCTGCTGACCCAAACTCAGGCACTTATCTCTCAGCTAAACTACAACAATCATAGCTCATGTGGGATCCCGCTAGTAGCCTCGGTTGGGGAACTTGGGAAAGAGATCTTCCCCTCCGACTTGACTTCTTCAAGAATGATCTCCGCATTTTGAAGTCCCGCATCAACTGCCGAAGTCTCATTAGGGACTTTATTCATGTTTGAAATTAAGTGGGTTCTCTTAATATTTAATTGAAGCTTCGGTGTGTGTAAGTCACAAGTACCGTCTCATTCTAAGATTCTGCATTTAAAACAGCCAAAATGGAAGGGTTCAACTCGTTTGTTAATACTGTAAACGGAGCTTCCGTCACTGGAAAGGTGACGCAGGGAACAGATCCTTCGACAAAACAAAAGCTTTGGGATGTTCCAGTTGCATCATCGGAAGACATTGAGAATGCAATTTCTGCAGCCAAAACCGCCTTCAAACAGTGGTCTAAAACGTCGTGGTCGGAGCGGCAGAATGCCCTGCTTGATGCCCGGGATGTCTTGATCTATCATAAGCCCGCGCTGGCACAGCTGATCACGAAAGAAGGGGGAAAGCCTGTAAGTGGCACCGTTACAGGAACTATTTCGGCGAGTCTGACTGTCGCAGATTCAATTTGCCACAATGGAAGTTGAGCATTCAATCAACTTCTTACAGTTTAATGGTATGTTAGGTTTTAGCCGCAGGGAAAGCCAATCTAATACAGTCCAGCGAATCAGGAACCTCTCCAAGAGCAAGTGATCCAAGATGACGATGAACTACGATTGACGATCCGAGAGAAGCCACTGGGTGTCATCGCAGCTATTTGTCCCTGGAATTATCCCCTCGTCCTCTCCATTGCCAAGGTCGCCGCGGCCCTTATAACTGGAAACACAATTATTGTAAAGCCTTCGCCTTTCACGCCCTACTCCATCTTGAAGGTCGTCGAACTACTTCAAGGAGTTTTCCCAGCGGGTGTTCTCCAAGCCCTCAACGGCGACGACAAGCTGGGACCTGCATTATGCCAACATCCCGGAGTTGACAAGATTACATTCACGGGCTCAACTGCTACAGGAAAGAAGATCGCTCAGGTGGCTGGAAATCTTCTAAAGCCCGTCACATTGGAGCTGGGAGGTAACAGCGCCAGTATTGTCTGCCCAGATGTTGATCCAAAGATCGTGGCCCCGCAAGTGGCGATTGGATCTTTCATGAACTCCGGTCAACTTTGCGTTGCTAGCAAACGTGTTTTTGTCCACGAAGATATCTACGATGAGTTCTTGGAGACAATGGTCAATACAGTCAAGGAATGGAAGGTCGCACCAACGTCAACCCTCGAGCCCGGTATCATGCTGGGCCCAATTCAGAACGAGATGCAGTATAATATCGTGAAGGGCTTCTTCCAAGATTCAATCGAGAACGGTCACTGTTTCGCCCTGGGTGAGAAGCCAAATGACAGTGGAGATAGCTTCGTTATCAAGCCTGCCATTATCGACAACCCTCCCGATAACGCCCTCGTCGTTACACATGAAGCTTTCGGTAAGACCTACAAACTCATTCCTTTAGATAGGCGATTAACAGTTTTACAGGCCCTATTGTTCCACTGATGAAGTGGAAGACTGAGGACGAAGTTGTTGAGCGAGCCAATAACACGCTATCTGGTCTTGGAGGAGCCGTCTGGTCAAAGGACGTTGACCATGCACAGCGGTTAGCAGACCGTATCGAGGCCGGTACGATCTGGATCAACAGTTTTGAGAAGCCTCTACCTCAAGCGCATCTTGCTGGTCACAAGGAGAGTGGCGTTGGTGGAGAATGGGGTCGACGGGGCCTGGGCGTCTACTGTCAGCCCCAGGTGATTCATTGTTACAAGTCCAAAGTATAAAGATGCGTAGCCAATAGAAAACCCAGTCCTTGGACATTGCTGTTACAATAGTGGTCAGAATTGTTTCTTCTGTCGACATACACGAGGCATGCGCCCTGTACTGCGTACAAGATATGTCAAGGTAGCTTTCCCATACCTTGGAACAAATCTACAATCCAAGCACCACAGGGATCTTTTCATTCATTGAACATCCCTGGGGACTATTCAAGCTTGTTGAGTTGGTGCGTCTGGAAAATATCTCCTCTTGGTACATACAGCTATCTACCTACATAACCATTTTGAACTCTGGGTCTCGATCATCTCCAAAACCAGTATATTGGTTATGCTTCCCGTTTTTCTTATCCCGGTTGGTCTTTGCACACCAAAGTACATTGAGCAATACACTATAATGCCAATGAGTTAGATAATTCTTCAAGTTCTGGTGCATGTACGTCAGTTAGAGAATACACTTACGCGACCCAAGCATAGCATAGCAACCCTAAAATTACTCTATGTCCTCTATGGTATAGCGGGCCATCCTTTGAAGGATAAACGAAACCTATAATAGACAGAGGTTAGATTCCATAGTTCACGATCGACCTTTGGCAGGTATGATTGAAGGTAGTCTTACTGGCAACAAAGCCACCGCAGTTTGCGACAGCCAGCTGCAAGGCAGAAGTTGTCGCTCTCTTGTAGTGTCCAGCCGAGTTGTTGGAGTTCCAAACCAAGATACATGGGACAGAAGCGTACATGCCCAGGGCCATCAAGCAGGTCATCGCGAAGCGAGTGTTGGCCGCCTGCACGCTCCCGATCACGGCATAGCCGATTATAGCGATAGGCAGAACGACGAGTATGATGAGACCACGAACTTTCGATCGATCGGATATGAACGCAACGAGAACTGAAGGCGGGCGCAGGTTAGTAGGAGCTTATGAGAGTGATGCGCTTGACTTACCGGTGACTGGGGTAGCAACAGCGTACGGAATTACACTCCATAGCTGAGCTTGGTTGGGGCTCGATGCAATATGAAGATCATTGACAATGGTTGGGAGCTATTCAAATCAGTGATAAGTCACGAGATGGGTCTAACGAGACTTACGAAGAGACCGAATGAGTACAGGCCGGATAGAATGGCGAAGTAGGCAGTCGATGTGAGCCATACTTGCACATTAAAGACGCCACGACGAACTTCGCCCCAGCTAAACTTTTCGTCTATCTCTGATGTCACGCTATTGATGGTCGTCAACTCGACTGTTGCTTCAGATGGCATAGGAGAACTTACGTTGTGCCGCGATCTTGTTCCAAACGCTTCACGGCCCATTCTCTCTCCTCCGGTGTGAAATACCGTGCTGTCGTGAGATTGTTTGGCAAAGTAAAGAACACGATTGACCCAGCGGCAACGGTCTGTGGAGATGATTAGCCCTACTACTGCTCGATGGGAGGCCAAGACCTACCATGAGGCCTTCAATGATCAAGATCCATCGCCAACCTTCCAGGTCGCCTCGAGGGCCGATGGCAGCAAGTCCGCGAGCAAGCAGGCCTTTATACCGTCAGACAAACAGATTCGTTTGGGGACCTCAGATAACTTACCTCCGAAAGCTCCGGAAAGCGAGGCCGCCGTGTAAAATATACCAATTCGCAACGCCAGCTCACCACGTGTGTATATGCTCGAAAGATAGAGAACCATTCCAGGTAGGAGACCACCTTCTGCGACACCTAGCAAGGCTCGCACAGCTGCAAAACTGGCGAAGTTGCGCACAAAGCCCAGACACATGGTGATGATTCCCCATACGACTGTCAGAGTGGGCAGCCAGATCCTAGGCGATACCTTCTTGAGGACCAGATTACTGGGTAGCTCGCTGAAGACGTAGGTGGCGTAGAAGACGGCCAGACCCTGGGAGTACTGTAGGTTGGTGAGACCTAGATCTTTCTCCATGCCGATGATTTTCGCGTTGCCGACATTCGTCCTGTCGAGAAAGGAGCACAGGAACAACAGTGCAAGAGATGGTAGTACTCTATGTAAAAATAATCAGTTGGTGACGGGCCAGATGACGGGTGACGAATCGATAAACTTACCGCGTATCTGTCTTGAACAAAACTGTCCTCGTGAGACGCGCATTGTGCTCAGTGTTCTCTTCGAGATGGTCCATCTCCTCGTGCTCGGCCTTGAAGTCCATATTGAGCTGCTAGAACAGATTTGGGCTATAGAGACTTGTCAAGCTTAGCTTTATGCATATGGCAACAACAGAATGGACTTGGCAGGAATTATTTAAAGGTTTTCCCCAGACTCCAAGTTTGCGGGGAATTACAGGCGGGCGGACTCCATATGGTTTGGCCTAAACCGAACTTGTGGGGGATCCTCCTTGTTAGAGGTGCCGGTATTCCGAGATTCTTTTCGGCATCCAATAGTAGCACCGCGAAGAAAGATGCTGCTACCCTTCACCGTAGATACTTAAGCGGGCTAGACCTCAATAGATGACTGTCTGATAGGAACGTGACTATGACGTTTCCGTTTCCCGGGTCCAAAAGTAGCCCCGTGGATTAGAGCGCTGACTGCATACGTTCACTGGAGCTACGGCTTATACAGAAGTCCATTTGATAGGGAGCAACGGCATTGCAATTAGAGTTCATTTCCCCGGCGTTCAAAATTGGAGCCGTTAGGTAAGTACTATAGATTGCGTCTTCCAGAGGCTGACAAATAGATGGGTTGTAGTTGAGAAAAGGCCTTTTCAATATTGATAGTACGGCAGTAGAGACTGTAAAGTGCAGAGACTGCACACTAAAGCATACAAAGTAGCGACTGTAGAGAAATACAAATAGAAAATCGGATCCACTTCAGTTATCAGCAGCCATTGACAAAGATGATCCTTATCCAGCAGCAACGTAAAGGGGTCCGAAAGCTCCGCCGCTTGAGTTCTGATGGATAAGACCCCCTATCATTGCCGTCGTGGAGCCTAGCAGCCCAAGCTGACCCGCAGACAACACTGCTTGCCAATGACTCTCCTAATCCTTCATGCCGAGACAGAAGGTCCAACCACCAAGATATGTGCCATGGGCAGCAGAGACGCAAGCACCCAGAGTAACGACAGCCGCAGGAGTAAGAGTGCCAGCAGAAATAGCTTCCTCAGTAGCAGCAACAGCTCCACAGGCAGTAAGGGCAGCAACGTAAGCGACAGTCAACCCAGCGCCGCAGACACCACAGCGAACAGTGGGGCAGCCAGCCAGTCGGCGTCGGTGATCCTCCTCATGTTCAGATCGATACTGAGCGATCTTGGCGTCAATTTCCTGTTGCAGCTTCTGACGGTTGTCCTGACGCTTTTCAACCTTGACATCAGATTCCATGTAAGTCTTGAGATTCTTCTTGATGTCCTCAAGAGCAGTGACTTTATCAGATTGGGACCATGACTTGATGTCTTCGAGGCTGACATCAAGGAAGTCTGCCCATTTGTCGACGTTGATGGAGGAGACATCAGAAGTAGAGAGGATCTCGTTGATGTCGGTTTCTGAGATACCGAACTTGGTGGCTATATCCTTGACGGTAAGGAGGGCAGTGGCAGTTGCCGTGGCAAAAGCCCAGAACATGATCTTGCTAACAAGCATTTTGATAATTGTGCTAAGTGGAGTTCTTTAGGGAAAGATTGATACAAGGGGTGATTGTGATGATGAGGAAGGAAGGTAGGTTTATGGACATATGGTCCCTTCTTATACTCATTTTGTTGGACCTGCAAGTAAGTATTAACAACGTCAACCGTTGAAACTCGTCAACTTAGATGTCTCGTCAAGACTTGCCCAGTTCTCCTGAACCTCGCGTGACAACTAGTTCCCACGTTTGAGCCGTCTCATCGTATAGCTGGATGATCAATTTTCGGCATTTTTGGACAGATTTTGGTTGTTGTTCGGCATTCATAGGCCCCAGGAGAAAGCTTAGATAGGAGGTGTTACGACTCCAATACTTGGCAAGTTAAGAATGAGACGATAATCATCTCCAAGGCTGAGTTAATGTTGAGACACAGATCTCGATTAGGAAGGTAAAACTTCTTCGTGGTCCTTGGGAAGCCTTCTATCAAACTTTCTCGAAGAAATCATCAAGCGGCAAAAGACTCGGCAGTCGCAAGAGAGTAGCTATAGGAATGGATAGACGATATCGTCGTCTTACAATTTGAACTCAAAGCTGACAAGATGACGTATCATACCTCTGAAAATGGAAGGAGCAAAGTAAGCCTTGCAGGGATCAACCCAGGAATAGCAATCATTGTTGAAAGCTTAAAGCACTGTTCAATGTATTCACAGAGCCGATCTAAGCCGGATGAGAATATACCGCATATGTGGATATAACTCCTGCCAGGAGGATTAGCCTTCGGATGATACGAGTTATTCCTAGAAACAACTTTAACCAACTTAAGAAATTGTCCACGAATGGCGGAAGGGTGAAGTCATGCAAGATATGCTGATCCCGGTGTTTCATGTAGCGAACTCTAACGTTAAATAAGGTTGTTCATTGCGGAGCGTACTAAGAGACGATCTACAGAACAAATACGAGTAGCCCACTAAACTACGGGGATCACTACCGGTTCATCCGAGGTTCCTGTGGCTTAATATCATAGACAGGATGGATATTTGTCTCATATAACAAATCATAGAAGGCCACTCCATTTAGGTATCTCAGAAGCTGAACGGGGGGACATTCACCGGTTAGAAAGTATTCGAAGTGTAAAATCGATTACCGAGAGAGTTGCATAATAGTAGAGGAAATGAATAAAGAGAATATCAAAAATGAGCTGTCTATCATTGCGAGGACTAGGTTGTGATCCTTCTATCTTCCCTATAAACAATTCTTGCGACTTCCACCCTAGCTAGGATGTTGATAGGAACTCTGTTGTCCGAGCTCTTGAGGGTGGGAGGGTAGGAGATACAGCATCCCGGTACGAATATCTGCTGATCGTCTAACATGATACTGGGTGTATAACGCATGAGATGTCTGATGTTCTTCGGGACGGTGACTCGGCATTTCGTTTCTGGGAAGAGGGTCAAGAATATTATATAAACAGACTACAGCACCAACTCTTCCTCTCAGACAAAGACACAAAAACCACTCCAGTCTCACAGACATCTATACACTCAAAACGCTCATTGAATCCCCCATCCCAATTCACTGTCAACAGACGTAAGATATCCAGGATTGTATCTCATAACTGCAGCCTCTAATACTCAGAAATAGTTTCACCATGCAAATTCTCACTTCAACCATCTTTATCACCCTCCTCGGCGTTGCTGCCGCTTTCCCGGGCCTCACTCCTCGCCAGAACTTAAAGAATGGAATTCTCATTTGCCCCAACGCCGAGGCAACCTTCGCTGACCCGAAAGTCAGCATGGGTGCGGTTTGTACCCGCACTTACAGCTGCCAATACGGCAGTGATGGTATCAAGAGCGGCAATATCTGGACCAACTCTTGCACTGGTTGCCCTCCTGATCAGAATGTCAACTCTTTTGGCAACTGTGTTTTTCAGTACGTTTGAGACTTCCTTATACTGGCCTGAAAAGGGCTCTGGGGTGACTATAGGGACAAGCTAGTAGCGGGAGGGAAGGGTAAAATGTATTAAATAACAAAAAAACTAGTAAAATAAAGAAAAGCTGTCGAGGGAGACCAACGTCCTTCTCATTTTGGTGCAAGTGGCTAATTACTTTAAACATTGCGTACACCTGCGAACTAACAGGTTTACCTTGGCTCAAGCTTTTATTTGAATCGGCCTTTATCAAGAACTACCATATTATCAGGGTTCCCGTACATGCGATAGGCATATGAGGTTTCCCTCGGGTCTGTATCGTTGCAACCCTGAACCTCGATTTCTTGGCAGCTAGCTAGACGATGACTGCAGATTAACAGTTGACGTTGCACACGGGCCACGGGTACAGATAAGGTATATGATAAGAAACTTTAAAGCAGCTGGTGGTGCTTCATCTGTCGATCGCTATACCTAACCAAACACGAGATACCTAATTGAGCAAAATGGTACGATTTTAACTCTTGTAAAAACTCAATTACACCTGTTTAATAATATAGAATAAATTGCCATAAATGCTATGCTTATTGAGTGTATCTGGACATGGAATAGCAAAAGGTAAGCCTGCACTATACTCTTTGTAGTGAAGAGCAAAAGAATGATCACGCTGGGGATCGAACCCAGAATCTTCTCAGACGCCTTGCCATTGGGCCACCGACCAATTCATAACTTCGAGGCTCTTATGTCATACTATACATCCAGGCTAGCCATGTACAATTCTGGGCTTCCTCACAGCGAAAGTACAGTGCCAAACAACAGCGGGATATAAAGAACCAATGTTTAACAGAGCAATCAGAGTTCTGTGCCCTCACTTCGGTTAATTGTGTTTCCGAATACGTTATTGGGTTTAGACTAGAATAATCTTATCTTGGTCCCCATTTTACATTGTACGCTATTAAATTCATGCTCAAAGTGGTAATCCAATTCGAAGAGTAAAAGCTACCTGAGCTCATGATTCAAAGTGGACTTACAGTAAGGCCCCGTGTTTATAGAACTACATAACGTCCTTAAGGCAGAAGGCATTTGTAGAACACAGATTTGATTGTAAGACAAACTTACCCTAGGTTAATTGTGGATTACAGATGGATATGAAATTTTGGATCCACTAAGTTAAAGCAATTTATAAATTGGCCGATGAGTTTATATTGGCCAACTCAGAGTATATGATAATAATGCTACGATAGCATTAACTAATGAAATTTAACCATATGTAAGCGAGATAAATTTACACGCGGCGTGGCCACTCGGGATCACGCGCCAATGCCATCTGTGCAAGATGAATCGCCTGATCCTCGGGGTCCTCAAAGCTCACGGCGCTTGCTGTACCATTGGGTTTGAAGTAAGGACCATCAACCTCGCATTGCGTATCATTAGCAGGCATAGTTCCATTGTAGAGGAAGGCCCTAACATGCTTGGCAAGGCAAAGCGATGGAACTGCGACAGAGCAATGGCCGTATCCCTTGACCTCGACAATCTTTGAGTCCTTAAATGCAGCTTCAGCTGATCTAGCGGAGATGAGAGGGCATACTGGATCGTAAGTCGTAGTGAGAATAAGCACTGGGTGTGCTGTCTCAACACCGTTGCGTGGGACGTAGTTATGCGTCTTGGGAATGCGCCATTGCTGTTTGGCGAAGAGGTAAACGAGATCATCGGGAGCGAAAACGCTGCGGTTAAAGGTTGGCATAACAATATCCAACAGGGAGTCCAGATCCTGTGGCCAGTGGAGAGGACCCGAGAGACCATCGTTCATCGAAACCGTGTAAAGTGCATCGCTGTCCTCACCATCATCCAAACCATAAGCCATGAGAGCCTCAGTCGCGTTACCGTTCATAAGCTTCTCCATACGCTCGGCAAACATGCCCCAGAACTGAGGCTTGTATAGAACCGGGAACAGTGCACCATACCATATCTTCTGGTAGTCGAGAAGACCGTAGACGCTGTTGTTGACATACACGTTCATCGGCTGTTCCTTCAGTTCACCAACGAATGAGAGGAACTTATCCTTGAGGTCTTCCCAAGAGTCTGCCATGGATGAGAGAGGACATGCGTCGCCTGACTTGATGCACTCCTTGAGCAGACCATCCATGACATTTTCTGTGTCATCGAGGTCCTCCATATCGAAGCGAGCTTGATACCAGAGGAATTGGTTCACAACTCCATCGATGATGACCCTGTGAGACCTCTCAGGGAAGAGAGTGGCATAAGTTTGGCCGAGAAGAGTTCCATAGCTGAACCCCCAGTAATACATATCCTTCTGACCAAGAGCATCCAGAATACTGTTCATATCGGCAGCTGTTTGGGGAGTGTTGATGTACTTCCCGTGCTCGCCCATAGTATCCTCACAGGCTCTCACATAATTATGTGTCCAGGCATAAATCTCAGCGCCATCCTTGACGATATCGATATCGTGCACTGACCCAAGTTGCTGACGCGCTTCTTTGCTGGGATAGCATGACGCGCGTGGGGACGAGGAGTTGATACCGCGGGGATCAAACGAGACAAGGTGGAAACCGTCGCCGACAATGGTACTCAATTGCTCTCCACGTCTGTGGAGAAACTCGAAGCCACTGCCGCCGGGACCACCGGGGTTGAGTAGGATGTTCTTGCTTCCATCTTTGCCCCGCATGCGAATGATGGGGACATTGAAGGTTTTGTTGCTAGCATCGGGATGGAACTGATCGATCGGCACGTCAATCTTGCTGCACTCTACAGAGCGATTGCTGATCTCTCCGCAAGGCTTCCATTCAATATTCTCGCCTGGGTATGTCGTGCGATCATTGTGGTGATGATCCTGGTGGCGATGAGAGCAGTGAGGAGAAACTTGAGCAAGCCAGTGGAACGCTGCGACGGTGAGAATACCGGCGCCAAAGAGCTTCCATTTGTTGATGCGTGGCTTTCGGCGCGGCTCGGCCCATTCAGGCGGGTTGAGTGAGTGTTTGTCCATTTTGATGGTGTTGTTTGTTGATGATGACTCGATGAGGAGGAGACGATCGTTAAAATGAAACGAGCAGGCTAACGCGTTGCCACGTGAGCATCCTTGCATTCGTCATCACAACGCGTCGACATCAGCATTCGATTTAGGAAGGTAATTAATCAGAGTTGTCATTTCTCATCACTGAAGATGAAATTTTGTCCGCGGACAAGAAGAAATTCATCTATTTTCCAAAGAAATTCATCTATTTTCCATGGACAAGTTTTTATTGTTCTCAGGTCATTCATAAGTCCACCGCATTGGTGGAGTGCTACTCCTACGGCTATGGACCTCCATGCTACCTATCCAAGGATTCAGTCTCTCCTGTTCCATCTCCCTGACTCAATTTATGTCACAGCTCGAGTCATTTCAATACATATAATCCACCCGGAAAATATTCTATTTCCCGATCACCCTCTCGGTTATACGGCAAGGCAAGAAGACGTCGTGAAACCATCACCATCATATTTCGTATACGTAATGGAAACTGAAAGAGGGTCATGATATCCGCATCTGCTAATTATGCGAAAACCACACCGCATCAAGCGCCTAATATAACCATCCTATAGGAGGACTTAGAGCACTGTATAAGCTTTCGGCAGCTAATTTATGGGTATGCGCGTGATTTTCGAGCGTTTCAGAGATCGTAACTCGTCCTGTTCTGGAACTTTTTGACGAAGATCACTGGAGCCGAGGCACCTCCGATGCATACCCGTATATGCGGGTGTACCGTTTCGATGATCTTGTTCCCGCTTAGGAGGATTAATGGCGAGGAATCCTATACGGGCCGTACCGACTTATCCGGAGGCATATTCAGTGGCAGTCGATGGGATGGTAGACTATAAAAGGGCAGTTGTTTTCCATAAAAGTTGGCTTGTAGTTGGCTTGTTACCCATCAGCAATAGCAAAACAATCGGCAATCATGAATACTTTTAGAACTCCGGCTTCTGAGCTTCAAGCGAGCGTCAAGAGGCATCCAGATCTGGCACTTTTCAAAATCCCAGAGCAGTCTCCCCAAGGCACAAAGTTCAAAGACGTTTCCTTTGCTCAGTTCGAGAGGGATGTCAAACAGACAGCAAAGTATTGGAAGGACAAGCTGTCTAATCTAGGCGTCCAAGACAGGGCTGTTGTTGGTGTCTGGTGAGTTGGCGCGATTGGAAACTGTATCATCAGCTGATTCCCCATTTAGGTTGAGCGGTTATGCCTACTCCGATACTGTCCATATCCAGGGACTCAACTGGGCTGGATACATCCCTCAGCTGTTGTCTCTGCGCATGACAGATCCTACTGTTATATATGAGCTTCTGCAGAAGTCCAATGCTGTGGCATTATTGCATGAGCCTGACAACACTTCTCTCTTAGAGGACAGCCCGGTGCCGACATTCCCAGCCGGCGCCATCCAATTCGACACGGATGCAGCACAACTACCAGTGGCCCCATGGCATCCCAGAAATGACGAGGACGTGCTTTTCATTTATCATACGTCTGGATCGATTTCAGGGATACCAAAGCTCGTACCTCTTACCGCGCGATGGGTCAACTACACCTTAGATATGTCAACATACTTTGAGCAACGGTCAAACAAGAAGAAGGGGAGGATGGTCAGCGTCCATATGTAAGTGCAACGTGAGGGCCACTAAGCGGCATCGTACTCATGGATCGATAGGGGAAGCTTCTGTCACCTTGCTGGCTCTGCCCTCAGCTGGATCGCAGCAAAGGAGGGCTCATGCATCATTATCCCAAGTACACTCCCTGCCCCAGTCTCTGAAGTACGTACCATGCTTGACGAGCACGGCTTGACATGCGTATGCATGTTCCCACCTGCTTTATCTGCCCTGTTCAATGAAGCACGCAAAGATCCATCTCTCCTGGCTTCTCTGAAAAATATTGACAATGCAGGCTCTGGCGGTTTGACTCTGGATGCTGCAGATTTGGAGTGGGCGCGCAAGAAAGGAATTCCAATGTTTAATGTCTTTGGTTCCACAGAAATGGGCCTTGCGTTGATGACAGATGCTAGGAAGAACGACGATTACCTTGAGTGTCACCCTACTGCCAAAAACGAGTTTGTCCCCATCGGAGATACCCTGACGTCGGGTGAGCAGCTACTTGAGCTAGTTGTGCCACCAGAGGCGCCCAACTGCCCAGTCCCCAGCTTCAGATCTGCCGATGGCAAGTTTCACTCAGGCGACTTGTTCGTTGAGGTAAAGCCTGGCAAGTATCTTTTCAGAGGACGCAATGACAACTGGATCAAGATGGAAGCTTCCCTGAGATGCGATACCATGTCTATAGAGGCTAACGTCATGGAGACCTGTGGCGAAGATCTTGTCAGCGCAGTGGTTGCCGTCGGTGTCGGGCGCCCTTGTCCTACTATAATTGTCGAGCCAAAGGAAGAGTGTCTACCAAGCGCCAAAGGTCCTGATAATGGGGATTCGACGCAGCAGTTGAAGGAGGATATTCTGAAGAGGATCACTCCATTTCATAAGCGTAGGTATACACATGAGCGAGTTGACGATACGCGATACATAGTTGTTGTTCCACGTGGAACTCTTCCTAGAACCGCTACAAAGGGGAATGTGCGTAGGCAAGAGGTTGAGAAGGGATTCCAGACGATGCTGGATGCCGTGTACGTGAAGTAGTTATGATAGCGATAGGCACAGAAGTATCAACAAGACTGAAGGTTCTTCACACTGGGGCGATGATGTCAGATCGTAAAGCCAGACGCAGTGGTCTAGCCAGTTCAAGGGTCCCAAGTATCATGCAGTCAAGCCTTATATCCGAAATACTGAAACGATCAGCTGCCAGACCGGGTTTGTAGACAAAAGCCACAGAGGCGCCCGATACCCTGGATATAGTCACCAGTGGATTTGTTCTATTTGCGGCGGTGAGCCAGTAGCTAAACCGGGTTTAAGCTTTTTTTTTAAGAGGCTGCCTAATTGCCTTAGCTTGTTGCATTGCGTATGCGTTCTCCTCTACCGAATCAAGGCAGATCATTTATCTCCGAATGCTTACGTCGCCATAGTGCAAAACGCTGAGCGACATCATAGCAGAACAAGTGAGTGTCAAGCTTGCCTCGTATTTCTGCCAGTCTGATTGGATGTAAAGGTTCTAGACTGCTAAGACCCTAGTCTATACGGTCAGATTCTATGTGCGTACTGCATCGGCAATGAGAAAGTCCAAAAAATGAGGTGCAATTAGAGCTCTTAGTGGCAGAGAGCAGACAGCAGAATTCCCTCCCACGAAAAAGGCGGAGAACAAACTCAATTTTATGACAAGCATTGTGTCTCGCTATTCGCCCTTGATGCGTCACGAATCGCGGCTTACTACAAAGGTAATCTAGCTCGCCAGCAAACTTGCATGGGTACAGTCAGCCAGCTTGGCATAATTCCTCTAATCGGAAGCAGCCGGTGACGAGGCGCAACTGGGTCTTGTAAATGGTTCTTGGAATTGTGAGTTCAGATCCCAGGTTGAAACAAGATGACCGCTAACCGATTCGGGTGAAATAAACGCTCCTCTGTCATCATTTTAACGTTAACGTTGCTGGCCTGGCCAGTCAGATCATCATTGAATGGGTCTATTTGTAGAATAGGTTGGGTGTCTCAGACTTATTGGGGTCATACTGGCTGTCGACTCCGCCACGCAGATGGGTCTCCTCCTAACCAGACTTCAAGTCTACCTATGTTTCCCTGGCAGCTCATAATCATACATATCACACTTATCAGTCCTCCCGAACCAGAACAAATCTCGGACTAGGTCTACAACATTTGCACCTCGGTTTACGTAACAAACGACAAACGATGTCCGAGTCAAAAAGTCCGAATCCTCTTGGTCCAATGGGCACTGATGCAGGCAAGGTAGTTTGCATACGTTTATGTCAACATGCCTGACGCTAACATGTTCAGAGTCGACGGGAACGAAACAGAGAAGCACAATAACATTTTAGAAAACGAAGACAAGCTGCAGAAGCAGCGAGGGTGCAAAGACTCAAGCGACTAGAAGGTGTGGTTGAGAGGATGAGCACAGTGATTGTGGACTTTGCAGACAAGATGCTGCAAGAAGAAGTATTAAGAAAATATCCTGCATTAGCGGCCGATGTGCAGGATGTTATCACACAGGTTCTTGCCTTGGCCAACGAAGCTGGAGAACCTGAAGAGACGAGATCGAATGAGCGGCACAAAGAGAAATCCCCTGACGGCGACTCGGATCAACGGCAATATTCGCAAGATCCAGCAAGCCCATCAACAGACATGCCGTTTCCATTCGACTTACAGGATATGTTCATAACACACTCCCCGCCAGAGCTCAGCCAACTCAGAGACACACCTCAAATCACATATCCAACAATGCAGAATCCTCTATTCTGCACCCATTCCCCTTGTTTACCACCGTCGTCTATCGCAAACTCGCTCTGGTCTGGGCCTTGGAACACAGCGAAGCCATTTTCCCCAGCATCTCTGCAGCCGCGCTTCAGTATAGGTTCCAGATTTTCTGAACGAGCAGCCCCGGCTCATAGGCTCCTCAATCAGACAAGCGCCCCGAACCCTGTCCTCAGTTATGATTCAATAAGTAAAACTATATGATGGAATGATACGTCGACTTCCAGGGAAAGCTCGAGCAAAGTAGAATGTATTAATTGAGACTCTCTATACCTATAGCCGTCTTACGAACCACAGATTGCTGCCTCAGGATAGCCAATGCCAGTATCTCAAGCTTCGCCGTACCAAGAACGCAAGCATTCCACACAGTGCAACATCAAAACCTTGCTCAAGGCCAATCATCAGTTTCCTCCGACAAGGGACTTTGCCAAAAGACTCTCGTCTGCTTCAGTTCGTAGATCCTGCTGGGCAGCCCTCTTAGAGTTCTCCACGGCGGAAGAAATGGCCGCGGCAATCTCAGGGGAGACAGAAGGCAGTGTCTGCTTCTTCTCGCTAGTCTCAGACACCCTGGCCTCCATATTCCTCACGGTCTTCGATTGTCCCTGCAGGAATGTTAGCTTTTTGGAAGGGGTCAGGAATTACATGTTGCTTCTTACATCTTTTGCTTTCCTCAAAATTTCATCGAGTGCCCTCCTAGAAAATTCTTGTGTCTGATTTGCTCTACTGCTGATCATCCTCGAGTCCATACCCATGCTACCGAGAGAAGAGAGCTCATCCACCATATGTAGCATAGGCGATACACTCATTTGCGACATGCGAGTCCACATTGAAGCGTAATCGGCAAAGGCTGAGAAGTAGGATTGGATGATGGTAGTGCTGTTGAAGATGCACTAGATGAAAGTTAGAAGAGTTCATTTAGTATGAAGTTCGACTCACGCTTCGCTGAAAGTCTAGCATATAGTATGGACCAACCCTGTCTCCATCGTTGCCGGCCTTGATGGCATCAACATATGGGTTGACATATTTCTCCGTGACAAACCTGACGGCTACCGAGATGGCGTTGTAGAATCGCACGAGGTTCGCTAGCTCAGTCTTGATCTCCAACATCGTGGCAATCGCCTGGACCAGAATCCCCTTGATCTCGTTCTAAGATTATATTTTAGCCAACAGCCCACACACCGGTATCCGGTCAAGTTCATACCATTCCCAGGTTCGAGTTCTTGAGACGCTCCAGCTTGACGTTGACCTGATTATATCTTTCTTGCTGCTCAACAAGTACTCCAGTGGAGCTTTGGTAGGTATCCCGTGTGGCAGCCAGTACTTCAGTCGCTGTATGCAGCCTTGCCTTGGCTGATTCGACGACTGCCTGGGCGTGGGCGGTCTTGGCTTGAAGCTGTGCTACTTCGATATCAGCATTGTCGCCCCCACTGGGCACGATGCTCTGTTTGGTTGTCAGTAGTTGTCACTCTACAGTTATTCAGGGAAGTATACCCCGTTCGCAATTGATCCCGAAAAAGACTTGGCGGTCGCATTCATTGTAACCACGGTCGCGTAGTTACTCAGGAAATCCTTCTGCCAGGATTTGACCGTCTCAGAGTCTTTGTTAGGTGCAGTGTACCCTGACTTGCCAGATTGCTCTAGTTCACCCAAAATTCCCTTTCCAATCTAAGACGAGTCAGCCAGATGTTGGAAGTTGCGAGAGTGAACGTGCCCTGCAAGCCGAATCCAGTGCGGACTTGTACTGCTGGCTAGGTTCCGAACTAGAGGCCAGAGAGCCGAAAGACTTCTGCGACTGCGCAAGCATCTTCGCTGCGAAGGTCGTGACCTGGCCAGCCTTGTCCCAAGCGATACCATCGGTGGTGCCAACGAATGCAGTGCTGAGAAGCTCCCAGTAGATCAGATCCCGGACGACCTGGCTATAGGCAGGATCATTTGGATCCTTAGGCTTGCTTGCACTTGGCGTAGACATGGATTGGTTCAGAGCAGTGGCCAAGCTGTCTGCCAGCTTTTCGACAATTTGCCGACCCACGATCTCCCAGCTGGATAAATCAGTTCAAGGTTATCAAGGCTGGACAGCCACAGTACTCACCCTTTGGGGAATCCATCAGAAGCCCCTTTGAATGCCTCAGTTGCTGCTTCCAAGGACTTCTGCAATTGATCAGTAGAAATACTCTGCTGGTAGTCCATCGACGCCCCAGCAACTGCTGACTCAATGTCCTTCAAAATTTGCTGGTCCTCGGAAGTTGATTCTGCTGCGACACAGGCCCTATGGAGCTCAGAGGCATGGTTAATCCACTCTTGAAACTTCCCGTCCATCTGCTTGGAGGAATCCAAACAGTCCCGAGATGCATAATTCCAGGCTTCCATCTCCCGCCCAAGCAGCCTTCTGGCACCTTCTGGGTCGGAAATTGCTTCAAGGATATTTTCAAACTAGTAAAGTCAGAAAGATAAATCGACAATTCTATCCGCACTTACTTTTCCATAGACAGCCTCAGAAAGCATATTGATCCTGCCCATCTGCTTTTCAGTCTCCATAAAGGCAAACCGACCTAGGTCGACAGACTTTGAGAGGTTGGCCTGGAGCCTGAATCCGGCAAAGTCACTGAGACAAGTTAGTTTTCGTCCTATGGCTGCCATGTACTATTAGCGTAAGTTGCATACCTCAGGTACTTGAACCCTTCCCTTGGGGGTGCAAGGGTGGTGTTGGCCTTCTGAGAGCCAGTGGCGACAGCGCAAGCACCGAGGGCATTCAGCGCCACAGGAGCTGGCAGGACGATGTTCTCCCATCGATATTGGGAAGACAAAGATGCCTTTGACTCTCCAGACATGCGGCCGACCACATTAAAGTCCTCTCTCTTAGTGAGGACTTCAATTTGGCGTTGATTGAGAGCCATTTTGATGAGGGATGTCTTTGTATGGTGAGTTTGGCAGGCTTGAATGATTGGATAAATAGTGGCAAGGTAAGGTGGCAGGCTAAGGATTTCTCAACGGGACAGGACAAGTCTTTATACGCAATAGAACTCTATTATACAGACTTATCGCGCTGGTGGACAACAGCAGATGTCTTGTACTCAAGTCTTCCCCATGTAAAATCAGTACTTCTGGGCTGCACACTACTCTGTACAGCACATGCAGACGCCTTCGCGATGATCCCCTCCGCCTATCACAGTTCATTACCCCTCGTTTGATCTAGATCCAGCTACGAACGAGTGGAAAGTTCCCAATAGTCCGTTCGATTAATAGACATCTCAGCTTCCAATTATCCCTGCGCTAAGATAGTCTATGCATAAGGCTGGCTGGGATCCCAATACTGAGCCAACATTGGCCAACGTGGCTCGCTGATCTTCCGAAATAGGATATTTGCATCAATTCGGCGACCTGGGCCTGCAACTGGAGCCTTTGGCTTTCCCCTTAGGAGCTGGAGTGTCAACGTTAATCCATTTAGGTATGCCCAGCCAAGCCAGCTAACCCCTGGCAGGGATGCTAGTTCGTGCTATCAATCAATAGTCTTGAGCACGACTCCACATTGAGCTAACTCGTCTCAGAGCTGCACGAAGGCGAGCTATCGTCTCGTCAGCTGATTGATTGACTTTCAGATATTCAGCCGCTGGGCAAAGCTATCGTATGCCGCATATGAAGTGTCTGTGACGCATAGATATCATCTCTGGCTGCCTGATAATGGACTAGTAGCCAATATATTGAGAAGCGGACCCTAAGCTAGTCCTCGAAGTTGGAAGTCAATGTGTGGCTAGTAGAATAAGTTGGTTGATACGAGTCTGGAACTCTGATGACCGACGCTGATAGGATGGGACTCTGAGTCTCGGATGCGGAGGCGGCGAATATCCTCATAATTCATAGTATTCTCGGCCTCTTCACTCACGTAAACGGTCTTAGTTCAGCAAGTTGGCTGCATCAATGCGGCTGCAAGAATAAGCATAAAGCTAGACCTCATCCTCAAGCTGTTCTCCAACTCGACTCCTCAACTCAACTCTCTTTCTCTGATCATTCTTTACCAATCTTTCTCAACTCTCCATCAATCATGGCTTTCGCATCACCTTGGGAATCTATGCTGGCTCAGGCTGGCCTTGATGGTCTTCGATTTGCTCAAGGAATACCCGCGATACAAGCAAATGCAGTCTTTGCGGCTGCTGGAGGGCAATTCCCAGATCTTGTTCGGAGACTTGAGGTCTTCAAGCAGCAGATCGCTACTCAAGATGCCTTTCTCCGCTCTGGTGTCAAGGAGAACCTGTCAATGTCCATCAACCGACTGGAGGTGGCACTCCTTCAGCTGTACAAGCTTGCCGTCTTCATCCGTGGGGAGTCTGGTGGTAACGACATGCAGAAGATGGCCATCCTTGAGCAGTGCTCTCGAGCCTTTTCAGACTGTCAAGCTGCCTCTCAGGCGGGCTTCGATCAGGTGAACAGCATTTATACACAAGTGAGTAATCGCATGTAGCATTCGATTCTGGATACTGATTAGTTCAGGCCGTGTCTTTGCATGCGGAAGAACTCCAGCAGCTGCAGCGAGAGATCGAGCGTGCGTCAGAGCAAACTAAGATGGACTGGGAGAACGGCCAGCGTCAGTTGGAGCAATATCAGCAAGATGTTGAAAGATATTCCCGCCAGATGGAGGATGCTTCCAACGCTCTCAGTCAAGCGCACGCCAACGTGCCTGATGTCGGCAACGATATTGGGAGGGCGTTCATGGTAAGACTGATCAATATGTCAAGTGAGCCAGCACTAATACGCGTGACAGTTTTTGCCGCCTGCTCAGGCTGCGATGGAAGTTAATCAGCAGAGAATTGAAGAAGCCAGAAACAGATTGAACGGTGCGCAGTACCAATTGCAGAATGCCCATAATTCTCGCATACAGTTTATGAACCAACAGAACGAACTCAACATCAGGCGTGCCGCTATTGACCAAGTGGCGCAGCAGCTTCCTGTTCTCCAGGCGACCGCTGATGCGCTCAGCAAGCAATCGGCTGCACTCCTGGCTGGGTTCGCTGAGCTCAGGGAGAAAGCCACACAGTTAGCACTCCTCATGGACGAGATGAGGAACGGAGCCAGGGACACAGGTGCTCAATCGTGGGATAAGGATAGGTTTGCTGAGGGCATTCTCAGACTTTGCCAGATGGCACTCATTGATGGTCGTGTTTGTGACGAAGTCGAGACCATCACCAACGAGATTTCTAGTGGATACTCTGGCCAGGCACCAAGCAGTGTTGCTGGCCTCTTGGCTGAGGTTGGACAGCTAGCTAGGAATGTAGCTCAGAAGAGCATTTCTGGGTAGCTAATGATGCAGAATATATATAGCAACCGTGTTACTGATTCGCTTTTGCATTATTAAAAGGTGAACACCTATCTATAGTAGCTATGCAAGTTGAGTTTATCATCCATGGACCTGCCTGTGTTACGTACATTTTCCAAACCATGAGCTTGACTGGGAAGTAATAGAAAGAGTCCAAGGGCCGATCCGTGGGCCGTTCGCTATAGTCTTGTTTGCTGGCAGTTTTAATCACATACGACCATACCTACAGGAAAATACGGGATCCCGTCTGCTCTCCCAGAGTCAAGCCTGTAAGGGGTGGATTAGTAGTTGGGTCGGTGACGACCAGCGAATACCCGCTGTTGTATGTTTTGTATTTTTGTTAAATCTCCCTTGAAGTGTTGTGTTGTCTCTTTTTGCTCCTTGTTCTGGCGCATGTATGCCCTGGGGTTGGTCAGCCTGGTTAGGTGAATAAGCTATGGTCAGAGACTTAAATACCTTAAACTACTAACTTTTCTATTTAAAATCTATTAAGGTAGTTCTATATTGTGGAAAAGATGTAATTTATTCTTTTCTCTTCCGGTATAATTCAACGACTAAGGGTTGGCCTGAGTAATCGTTTTGCTTAATGTGAAGTTTATAGACTCACGCTTTGACCATGTATGATCTGGCAAGTTGTATTTGTATTCTCAGGCTCAGACAACAACGGTGAAATACCTTGTGGAATGGAACTAACAGCTTGTTCCCAGTTTTCAACGAGTCATTCCAACCTCTTGTGAGCTTCTAGCCAAGAACAATGCTTATACATAGCATCAGGGCATCGATCATCGCAACTACCAATATGTCACTCAGCTTTGATACCATATGCGCATCCAGGATGCTGTCGTTGTTGGTAGTAAAGATACCTTCTTAGGTAGTTGATAAGTACCGACGGGGCCGAGATAACCGTGCCGTAGTATCCGAAGTTACAACCAACACGAACGAAATCAGCTCAGATATGCAACTAACCAGTCGCTGCCTAAAGTAAAATTTACGCCTGAATGATTCTTAACGGGTTCAAGTGTTCACGTCCCAATCGTTCTCTTGACAAAACAGTGCAGAGATCATTTGCAATTGTCCCTGAGACTCTGAGCATCTTAAGTCTGCATACAAAATGGCCTCTGCCTTCCTCAAAGGCCTTCTACTTCTGTCTCTCGGTAGCAGTTTTGGCTGTGCCGAAAGCTTCAATTACGGCGACAGGGATGGCAATCTGTTTCTCGATCTTTCGATAACGGAAGCCCAGAGCAGTCGCCCGGAATGGGGGCTCGCCGAGCCTTGGACCAGTGACTACATTTCAGCCCTTCAAGAGAACAGATACGGCGACGCTATATGGGCGCGATATCAGATGTTTGGTGATACTTCGAATGGCACTTTCTTGGAGTATCCGCAATGGACGGTCCGCGAAGCGATCGAGGAGGACGCAATTGGATACAGACTCCATGCACGAGACAATTGGAAGTACGCCATGACTGTCTACGCCAATTCAAGCAAGAACACACAAAGTGATATACTTGACCTCATATTCGACGTCAACCGCAGGAGCTACTATCGACTCTGTAAGTTCGGCAACCTCTCGATATACAGTGCTTTAACTCACAGGATATGTAGTCAGAGATCAGTACCGATTGCATAAGCGTTTCCAACAAAGCGAACACGTCCTTCCGAACTGCGACTGTTGGAAGACTGCCCAGGATGAACTCGACTCTGTTTTGGAGCTCAAATAGTTGGCTTTGATGCCGCTTTGCTTCGAGATGGAACGTATCATAGCGGGACATTCTCAGAACCTCGTTTACTAGTCTGAGTTCAGGATAAGTTTAGTATACCTTTTGCGGAGATTATTTTGACACCTGAAATCAAGGTCTGATGTCTTATTGCTCCCTGGGGACATGGAAATGCAGGTTTCGACATTTCCGTTCAGTTTTCGCTCTTTTCCTACGTCCAATTATGATTGGACTTTATGTATACACTCCCAGACCGGTTTGGCAGCTTGGCCATACAGCTATATAGTCATAAACGTTCACCGCAGTCATGCGAACTCCTCGTTTGTTCCATTGACTTCTTCATTCGATAATTGCCGTTGTTTGGCGATTTCCATGTTTTCCTTGATCTCAAGGCAAGTCATCAGTACTTTCGACTCTAAGCTACTATATATAACATGAATGAAGAAGTACTTGAAACAGCCTCCAGTGGAAAGGGTAAGGCTTCTAGGAACTGCTGATCACAGCATATGTCTGGTGATACTGGAGCTAAGCTTATCGCAAACATGGTCCCATCCGACTCCATGCAGCGCATATAACTACTACTTCAGGCAAGGTTCCAGAACCGCGAGATTTTGTCGTCTGATATCAACCTGCACCTGGTGGTCACATGTTATCTGGGTATCTTATCAGAAACACCCCATGCGGTCATTTAGCAAATTTCATTCGTTGGATCTGTTGCCAATCCATGGCGCGTCAAACATTTCGCTCGCCAGAATTGGATATTTCAGATCTTACGATACGACGATAATTGACATTCGAATCAACCGCCAAGTCCACCGCTCTGTAGAATATGTCTTATAATCATCTTTTATTATTATGAGAATCTAATACGCCGTTGGGCACATGACATGTCTAGAATCAATGACGCTCTCTTTTTTCCCACTAAAATGTTGGGTCCTCTTGCTTGATTGGCTTCAAATCACCCTGGCCCTTGAACACCTCGAGAATCTTGGCCTGCTCCGTCAAAATGAATCTATCAGTCTGCTTTCCAATGTTTGCCAACTCTTTCCACCTGTTGAAATCGTCTGGGTTCCTCTTGTCGCCGTGTGCTTCTGACGCGTGCTCCCAATGGCCCTTTGAGAAGCCCAGCATACCGCTGATGGTCTTGTTGGTAATGTCGTAAACAAGAGATACAATTGTTCCAGTCTCTTCGAGCCAGTTGATCTGCCATAGCTCTTCTGGTCGAACGCATTGGTAGGCTACGGTTTGGTAGTTGATACGGCCAGCCATTGGGCCACCGTGAATGGCGTAGACGACTCGGTCGTTGGAGAAGAACCAGATTTCATAACGCCATTTCTCGGGGTTTCCTTCTGCGTCTGTGGCGTCGTAGTCGTAGATAAGATGAGTGTTGAGGATATCCTTCTCAAAGGTTGGGTGAAGGGGGGTGTTTGTCTGATATCGTGGCAGAGACATGATGTATATTAAAGGCTTTTGGTACGGATTTTAAGAACTTGGAGTAATTACAGAAGACAATACGAGACATCTCTAGACCAGTGCCAAGTATTTATACTCTGCGAGATCGCCTCGCTTAAGTGGCTTGATCTCTTGGTACGACGGAATGCAATCGTAACATCATCCGTCCTCTCGGGAAACGCGGACAGTAAGTTCCCACTAAAAGTGCTAAATGGATCAATAGGAAGCAAGGATCAGCTTGCTAACGTGTATATCCGAGAATTGATCTCAAGACGAGATCCATTATAAACTCAATTGATATCGTATGATGTCACCACGGGACTAGCAAAAGCACCCACAAAGCCACCGCAGATACCGCCATCGACCTCGGTCTGATGATGTCGGCAGTGAGAGTCGGTAGCACAGAACTACCTCATACATTAGCGGTGTGCACTCTGCTCAATGTCTCGTACAAGACGAAACGTTGCCCATGGCCAGAGATATTTCTTCTGCCACCAATTCAGGCTGCGGATATTAGCAGATTCATGGCATTTGAGTATTACGCAACTCACAAACTCTTCCGGCCTGCAATACGAGGATGCAGGGCCCAATTTCCTCCAACCACGGCCAGATGTTTCTCATCCATGAAGTCGGCTGGACTGTGTCAGAAAAGAATGACATAGCAACCTCTTGGAAAGGGATCGACAAAAATCACCACTATATCCGGGATGAATATCCATTGCCTTGAATCCCGGTTGCGGCGCGAATAAAGTTCTCGTCCACTCAGCTGCACCTCCAGTATCACCCAGTCCGCAAAGATCGCCCTTGTGAGTGATTCCCATTGGTTGAAAGTTTCGAAATCCAGAATTCGTGTTCGATAAATCAACAAATACGGCTTTTGGATCGATAGGGAATTGATGGTTCGCTTTGCTGTCCGGGGCTTCACGACGACGCTCAACATACTCGTGGATGCTCCGTAGTTGGTGGAGCGTTGGTAAGCGAGCACAAGCCCATTGAGAATATCTCTCTACCTCGTCAAAAGAGGCCGTCACAGGCCAACCAAGTGCCTGCGATAATGGTACTGGCCCCCAGACAGTCTTGATACTGTGACGAGCGACGAACGTGGTGTAATCTTTATCACTTCGGGCATCGCGCATCTTGCTCCAAGTTGCGGGGATCTGAGGCTCCTTGCTGTCTACGAGGTACTTAGCATACTCTCCGTTACTGACCGGTCGACCTTGAGCCTCGATTTCTGGAACAGTGATATCATACGGCTCGCGCTCATTGTCCCACGCAAAGAATCTATTTGGTCCATCGTCACCTTCAGGGTCATGGTATCCAATGGTGAAACTCTGCTCGGGGACCTTTATCCATGGATTCTGAAGGCGTCGTGAAGCAGCTTCTTTTGCGAGCTTTGAAAAGTCTGGCCTGGGTAGATTAGGAGGGGGAAGGACGTTCGGGCTTTGTATAGTCATGAACAGGAACGTTTCAGCATGAAGACCTACAACATATCAGCCACAGAACCACCAGCTGGTACAAACAGACATACCCTCGTGTTCGAAGCCTATCCAAAGAGCTCGTCCAATACAGCGATCTGCGTAAGGCCGTCCAGTTTGATAAAGTGATATGATCCGCTCCTTCACGCGTTCTCAATAGTGAAGAATGTCCCCAAGGCATGGAAAGACGTCTGGGAGTTCGCTGTGATCATGGCATTTGGAAGGATCATCAACATTAGGATCTATACCACGTTCGAAGATATGATGAAAATATGCTGGCTCAGTAGGCTTGCTGTTCGTTGCTCGCGTAAGATGAATGTCCTCACTAAGTCCATTATTAGCTAAGATTCAAGATGAAATAGTTGGAGTCTGACAAGGTTGGAATGTGGCCAAGGTAGAACAGCAATGGGTTCCTCAGAGGAATTTGTTATTCCATCAACGCATCGGGCAGTGTCATATTGGTCGTGACAAGATCCCAGACGCTCCATAATTGTTTCCATTCAGCCAGCGAAGGCACCGGGGCTGGAGCATACTGCTCTGGTGTCAGCGGGAAAGCGTATGGATTTTTAGATTCCATTGTGTTCTTTAAGTCTGTGGCCGTCGCAAAGATGAAGTGAACTAAATAAGAGGTCCGACGATGCGTAGTGATATGTTGAGCTCTCGGTCCCTCGGTCTGACCTCGAGTAGCAACGTCATCATTCACCAAGCTCCCCAGCAACAGCTCAGCGGTAAAGCTAAGACATGGCTTGTTCCTCTTTTCTAGATCTGGATTGGCCTAGTGTTCTGGAGACTGGAGCTAGTCATCTCAAGCATGAGACTTCCGATAGGCTCTCCAGTAGTCAAGTACCCATACTGATGTTGATGAGTGACAGGACTCAGTTCAGGGATCGTGATATCATTGGGCGGTCAAAAGCATGTTGTATGTAAGGCAAATCCGATTAAATACTTCTCAGACTTCATTCGTCGAGCAGCTTGTCGATAACAAATTGCTGGGAAATTATTGTGAGACATGATGACTGCGACCGGATCTACCGAAAGTTAGTCGCCGATCAATCACCATCTTATCTCGATAAGACTCGAGCATCTTCAATACTCAACACCGAATATATACCTGACATCCCATCAAGCACTATCTATCCCACAAACCTTGAGGCAACAACATCAATACATGGTTGAATAGTCGTTGACTCGACATATGAGACGCCGACTACCAACAAGTCACCATGCGAGACTCGGAGTACACCTGTGTCAACTGTTGAGCATGGCCTTCATTTGCCTATTGGAATGAATCAGTCAAAATTGGAAATATCTATTGTTTTGATGATTTCAAATTGGTCCATCATCTCAACCTCGAGTGATGGGAGCATATATTTCGGCCGCTTGTTGCGTCCTTACAACCCCTTGTCAGCGTAGGTAACTCTTGAGGTTGGAATCGGCCTCCTAATGTTCACGCAAGTCTACCCTTGCTCCGAACCAAGGTGAGACAGAAACCACTTGTTCAGACATTTCTTGTCTGTTTGAGGAAGTTGGCCAATGTGAGCCCATGCGACAACATTTTCAGGTCCTCGCACTGAGAGACAAAATCGCCCAAGGTCGCGAAACAGAGGAGAGACTTGATGAAGTTTCTCACTTCATCAATCTTTTATTCTTAATGGTGATCGGTAGGGCGCAACTAAAGATAGCAAGGACCGTATAAATTGCGAAGAGAGGCACGTTATCGTATTCGGGCCAACGCCTAGGCTCGGGTTGGCATTCGGGCATATTACTCTCTGTAAGTCATCATCGTGACACAGAGTCGAAATATGCAGGATAAGCGATTCTGTTCCGTATTCTTCCTTATAATCGCTAAGTCGTGGTGTCTTGTGATACGGAAGAGGCGAAACAAGGCAAGTTCCAGCCAGATCGCTATATGACGTGGGTTGACTAAGAGTCGAATCATGAGGCTGCTTATAGCACTATACAAATTTCCCTAGTGGGTGGGATGCTTTTTTGATGACAGATCATGGAATCATATCATTTTGTCGTAGGTATTTAAAGAGTGCGTTTGCGCATCTCCGCGGGAATCAGCATCTCCAAGGAACGACACGCATAATCCTCAGGTCATCAAATTTTCTTATACAATTCAGGAAATATAACATAAAGAAACAAAATAACTTTAATTGCGATGAAAATTTGAAACAGTACCTGTAGTACCTTATCTTCAATAACTGGAGAAAAGAGGGTTTTGGTCAAGTTTTACTGCGAATATAGTCCATAAGGTAGGAAGATGTTCAACGTCTTTGCGTAGCCGTGAACTCCCGAACAGTACGACCATAGACGCATTGACAAGTAATAATGCCGATATTTGTAACACCCGTTGCAGACGCCTGGCAATCCGACTCGTCCGCCCGATCGCCCATGCAGCGGAAATGCAATCGTCAAGCATAAGCCGAGACAGATCGGGACTTGATTGGAAATCAATGGCATCTCGTGATCCCGTCGAATACGGATGAATATGGAATACTTCAAGCCCAATACTCCACATCTGGTTTTCGCTTCAATGAAATATAACCCTCCATCATCTCTCATCGTTATTCCCATCGCCATGGCTACTACTAAGCTTCAATTCGCACTCCGCAACAAAAGAGTACTCTTCAGTTTAAAGCACTTCAATAGAACGTACGCAATGGCATCTGACGCACTGAGCTTCCCTTTCTTGCGCGCCTCTGGCCCCGAGCCACCCGCCGAGTTCGCCAAACTTCGAGCTACGAATCCTGTTTCCCAAGTCAAGCTTTTTGACGGCTCTCTCGCCTGGCTCGTCACTAAGCACAAAGATGTCTGCTTCGTAGCTACTTCCGACAAGCTCTCCAAGGTATGATCTGATATCATCTGATGGGCTCTATCGGTTCTAACCTGGCTCAAGGTCCGCACTCGCCAAGGCTTCCCTGAGCTTAGCGCCGGTGGAAAGCAAGCAGCCAAGGCAAAGCCGACATTTGTTGACATGGATCCCCCAGAGCACATGCGTCAGAGGTAAGCACCTAAACAGCCTTGCATACCCAGATGAACAGGGCTGACGCAGATTGAAGGAGAATGGTGGAGCCGACCTTCACCCCCGAAGCTGTCAAGAATCTGCAGCCTTACATCCAGAAGACTGTCGATGATTTACTGGATCAAATGAAGCAGAAGGGATGTGCCAATGGTCCGGTTGATCTTGTCAAAGAGTTTGCACTCCCTGTCCCCTCCTACGTAAGTCTCAACAGACTTCTATGACAAGAACATGTCTCATATCGGTCTAGATCATCTACACACTCCTCGGCGTTCCTTTCAAGGATCTCGAGTATCTTACCCAGCAGAACGCTATTCGAACAAATGGCAGTTCCACTGCCCGGGAGGCATCGTCCGCCAACCAGTAGGTCCAATTGTGAACCATCCCAGCATTGAAGTCTGACAACTCACAGGGAGCTCCTTGACTACCTTGCAACTCTTGTCGAGCAGCGCCTCGTAGAGCCAAAGGATGATATCATCAGCAAGCTCTGCACGGAACAAGTCAAGCCTGGAACTATTGACAGGTCCGACGCGGTCCAGATTGCTTTCTTGCTCCTTGTAGCTGGCAACGCAACCATGGTGAACATGATTACTCTGGTATGTGGTTCTATTTATACGCCTGCCGTCTATTTACTAACACTTTGTAGGGCGTCGCCACTCTGGCTCAGCACCCTGATCAGCTGGCGCAGCTCAAAACTAATCCATCCCTCGCGCCCCAGTTTGTCGAGGAGCTTTGTCGCTACCACACTGCGTCTGCACTCGCCATCAAGCGTACGGCTAAGGAGGATGTCATGATCGGAGACAAGGTAAGTACAACCCCTTATGCTTCAGGCATGGAGAGTACTAACCCATGTCAGCTTATCCGAGCCAACGAAGGCATTATTGCGTCCAACCAATCAGCCAACAGAGACGAGGAAGTCTTTGAGAATCCTGATGAGTTCAATATGAACCGCAATTGGCCTGCACAAGATCCTCTCGGGTTTGGTTTCGGTGATCACCGATGTATCGCCGAGCATCTTGCAAAGGCTGAGCTGACAACTGTGTTCTGTATGTATACATGCCTTGAATGTTTGAGATGCCTACAACTAACGGATTGTAGCAACATTGTATCAGAAGTTACCAGATCTAAAGGTTGCTATCCCATTGGAAAAGATCAACTACACGCCTCTAAACCGAGATGTCGGGATCGTGGACCTGCCTGTCACTTTCTGAGGATACCCAGAGTAGTGGATGTAGCCGTGTTCGCATATATCTCTGATTAGCAACCGAATAAATTGTCTCAACTCTACAAGCGTCGACCTGCGAACCGTGATTAAAACGATCCATCTATCTTCAGACAACATCACTTTTCATATTTTCTCTAGAAATGCTAATGAATCGATGAGTCCAGATGGTAATGCACTAGTGATTCTGCCTCTGAGTATTCACATGATCTTATTATAAAGGGCCAAATACTAGTTTCTGGATGCCAACAGTCAAGATTATATGACGTTCCAGTATTGATAGGCTGCTTTTCCCACTCGGTTAAAAGGTCCGATCACTCTCTCCATCTCCAACCACGACCGTGGTTTCAACAGTCTTGGTGATGCCATGCGGTTCCGGGAATGTCGCTAGATGAACTTGCGATCCGTTGTTACCCTCGTTTCTCTCAAGGTCTTTGCTATCTTTACCCATTCTACTGATGAGGTTGCTTCCGCGGGTCGGGACAGGTGGACCAGTAGTCACTACTACACGGGACGTAAGACCATAGTTTGTTGGATTGGACTTGTCCCGACTGCTAGAATACCATCCTTCTCCTTGACTACGCGAGTTACCTCGAACGACCTTGGATATGAGGTTTGCCATGAGCAATTCTATGTAGAGCTTGACGATGTATGCAAGAGGGGCAAATTGGACGTATCTGCTCAAGTGTCAGCTAAGGTCTGCTCGTAGTGCGCGATAGACTTACAGGTAAGGGTCTGGTAGACTAAGGAACCCTAGAAGAAAGATATCCATCGATGTCGAGATAAACACCATTCCAGCGTTGAAGTTGAATAATCTCCAGTATTTATTCAGGCCATCAGCAATCAGACGATACCGCACCAGGTATAAGAAGTACATGTTGAGCGCCAAGTCGATGATGAGGAAGAAGGTCTTCTCACACTTCTCGAAAATCATGTTCGTATGCTTCTGCGAAGGTGTAGCAGTGTCAAGGTGTGCGACTGTGAAGATGTAGCAGACAGCGCCATTGACACACAGAATGCAGACCACGAGCCCCCACTTCAGGTGTCTCGCTCGGCGTCGGTTCGTCATGATCAAAGATACTCGGTTGGCGATGATCTGAGGGAGTAGTTGCGTCTGGATCGACCATAGGATGACGGTAGCGAGGAGAAATCCCAGACTATTAAAGATGATGAGCAAAGGAGGCAACGAGAGGGGACGTCGAGGTACTCACTTTCCAGGGATGATACCATTGAGGTAGAGGAATGTGATGAGAGCAAATACGAAATTCACCACGGCCTCGGACCAGATCATGTAGAGGTAGGCATTGCGGAGGCTATGAGTGCGCCTGTA